GCGAGGAGTAAGCCTCGAGGCGGATCGAGGTGTAAGACTCAAAACGATTAAAATAATGACAAAAAATAACAAACTATTATGTCAACTATGAATTTGAAGATTTGTTTGAAGATAATATTATTATAATACAAAATTTAAAATAAACTAACTTAAAAATAAAATATCCCCTTAGGATTAAGACTCAAAGCAGGCTCATCATCACTTTGATTATCTTCAGAATAATATTCATAATTAATGTCAAAGTCATCCTCAAACTCTTCTTCATCTATAATATTTTTTTTCTTTTATCTCCTATATCAGTTAGTATTTCATTAGCTCTAAAATGAAACAATAGTAACATACAAAATAAATCATTATATTTAAAAATACCTTTGAATTTTTTTGAAGCTTCAATCTCATTTTGTTTCTTTCTTTTATATACTTGGGTAGTTGCTTCATTGTCTTCTTCATTGACATAAGTTTCTCCTTCTGCTTTAACTTCAGAAACATCAGCATTCTTAGGAGTAACCCATTCATCATCAGATTGTAATTCATCAACAAGCAAAAGGTCAGTTTCATTCTCAATATTTCTTTGATTCTGCAATTTGAGATGTCTATCTTTCAATTTTTTGTTAAACATAACATAAACTAGTTTGTTCACTCGATCTGCCGCCAATCGGTTTCTTCTCTTTGTATGAATTTGATTGAAGATGCTCCAATTACGCTCGCATGCAGAAGCCGAACACGTTAGGTTAAGAACTTTAACTACAAAAGCTTTCAATTCAAGAACATCATCTCCAAACTGAGTCCACCGACGTTCTACATGAAGACAAACATAATATTTTATGAATATTGGTTGAAGTAGAAGACTTGAACATAAATATTAATATTAAAATTATAAATACACAAACTATAAACATAGCAGGAGATCGTGTTTTGTAGCATGCTTGTGCTGCTCTAAATCCAAACATTCCCTTCTTCAAATGAAAATCCTCAAGTTGATCATTCACTTTGAGGTAGTCTTCTTCAAAAATGAGTCTGTCCATACATGCATACAAACCAGTTTTCTCCTCTTTGTCAACATGAAATTTCTTATCATAATGAAATTGGGGGTTTAAATAATACGCAGCAACATGTAAGTGTTGGTGTAATTGTCGATCCCACTTTTCATCTATAATATCCCATATTTTTTTGTAGGCACTTTCTTGACATCCCAATTCTTTTGCAATGTCTTCTTTAGCCTTATTTATTGCTTCATAAATAAATCTCATAGCCGGGGCCCTCTCAACATCAACCATTCTAAGCACCTTTACTAATGGTCATGTTGTCTTCAAAGCATAATTTGTACTGCGCTAAAATGAATCGTCTTTCATAACAATCTTTTTAACTTGTTTTCATTCTTGTTTTTTGGCCCATGAACTTTTATCCCACTATTCAGAAGCAAATATTGCTTCCAAAGGTTGTCTTAGCTCCTTGAATCTCTGCAATGTTAAATATATAGTAGCAAATCTTGTAACAGCAGGTCTAATAATTTCCTTGTCAGTGAATTTTCTCATCAAGCTGAGTACCCAAGAATGATTGTATATAAACTTACTAAAGAATTTGGCCTTTAATATGGTTGATTTATGTTGAGGCAAATGTCTCAACCTCTCAAGCATCAAGTCAATACAATGTGTAGCACAAGGAGTCCAATAAAGGTGATGTCTCTTCTCCATTAACATTCTCTCTGCAGTTTTGTATGCATTTGCATTATCAGTAACAACATGTACTATTAAGGTATGTCCCACTTCCTCCACAACTTCATCCAACATTTCAAACAATAATTGTGCATTATTTACAAAACTTGAAGCATCTACTGATTTGAGAAAAACTATTCCATATAGATTGTTGACCAAGAAATTAATAATACTTCTATGTCGAATATCTGACCAACCATCTGACATTATTATCACTTCTGTCTCAATCCAAGTCTTCTTAACATCATCCACCATTTTTGAAGTTGTCTTAACCTCCTCATTCAGCATCCAAGTCCTCAGCTCATACATGCGTGGAAGTTGTAGTCCTCTTCCATAGCTTCCAACAGATCGTAACATATTGATCCATGACCGACTCCTAACAACATTAAATAGAATCCCATTTTCATAGATGAATCTGGCGATATCCAAACAAACTCTGTTCCTGAGTTCTTTTGTAGCTGTAGGAGGCTGAATATCCTGAGTATTTATATTTTCCTCGTTATCAATATTTAGCATAAATCTATCCATTGGCCCCCGACTACCTTAGTCAGAAGAAACTAGATGGCTTCCATTACTGGAACCTTCATGCTGTGATTTATTGTAAGAAGAGTTTTCTATCATCTCTTTCATATTTCTTTGTGTGACCTCCTTTGTGGTGGCAAACTTTTTTAAATAATCTGTACATTCCTTTTTCACCTCATCAGGTACTTTTGCATATGATCCCACATTAACATGAGTGCATATTAGATGATCCTTCAACCTCTTGACGCCACCAGTTATGCGTTTCTCACAGAAATTACATTTCATGTAAACATATCATTTCTTTGCACCTTCGCTTGACACTTCAACTTGGGTTCGACCTGCCCGGTCAGGTCGCGGGGTCAAGGGGTAGCACCCCTGTTGGGGTTTCCGGGGCAGCGCCCCCGGAACAAAATTTTATTATAAGAGTAATTTTGAAATTCTGCTTGTTTTTAAAGTTCGTAAATTGTTTGTATGGAAAGATACTAAGTGGTACCGAGCATGTACCGCTCAGTACCGAGCATATACTTACTTAGTACCGAGCGATATTGGCTCGGTACCGAGCATGTACCTAGTGATACTGAGCATGTACCGCTTAGTGCCGAGCATATACGGTACCGAGCATGTACCTAATGGTACCGAGCATGTATCGCTCAGTACCGAGCTTATACTTGCTCGGTACCGAGCGGTACCTAACGATACCTAGCAGTACCGAGCATGTACTGAGCGGACGAATGAAAGAAAGCCGAATCAGCAGTTAGTTAAGATTTCGTTACTGCACATCAAAGTCAAGGCCCACAACACCGCTCACCTGCTCTT